TGATGTTCGATAGTTGTAAAGACGCGAGATGATAGTGGCATGATGCCGACGCATTGGCTTTGGGTGAGGTTCGTGTCGTCTTTAGTGGCACTAGAAGGCGGGCGACGAGGTAGTGATGATACCGTCACACTGGATATTCCTCGCCAAACCCAATGTCCAAGTACTTCAGTCTACACTGACTTTACTTCCTTTGAACAAGGAGACTTGGAAACAGACCTCTTGGTCATTCGTCGACTAGATCCGTCGGTCGACTTTCTCCGGATGCGGCACATCCCCCTCGATGTCTTGGGTGAAGAAGACTCGTTGAGATGGGCTACCCGGACAGTGGAAATATTACAGCATGTGCGTCTGAGGCATGCTCAAATCGCTTCAAGAGGGGAGCAAGCTGGAACACAGGTTGTGTGGACCCGTCGAGAGGCGGTGGCCAGTTCTTTGACGAAGCTTCGTTTCCTTGTGAGCATGCACGTCAAGTTGGAGAGAACAATAGTGGAGAACCGTGTTGGTCCACCGGCATTTCCAGTCATGTTTCTTCCAGCAGTGGCCCGCATTGTAGCCTCTCTCTTTTCACAAGAAATGGATCTGCGAGACGACCACGGGCGATTGCCACTGCACTATGCCGCTGCACGCAAGTGGCACGACCTTGATTGGCCTCCAGAAGGTTCGCCCGAAAGTGATGCAAGAAGGCCAGCTCGGCTCTTCCGCATGGAAACCCTTACAAGCTTACGCACTGCCATGGAACTATCCAGCGACACTGCTGCGTCTATTGTAGACACGCATGGGCGATTGCCGCTGCATTACATGGTGGAAGCATACGTCAAGGCGGCGAACAGGCGTGCTTGGGATCAACCTGTACAAGCAATGTTAGACCTCATCAAGGTCATGGTCCAGCTTTTCCCAGACGCTCTCCATCGGAGCGACAGTGCCACACAGCTCGTCCCGTGGCTGCAAGCTACGGCTACCGCAACTGAGTGTGCACAGACTACGAACTCTTTCAACCCTGAGATCCACTTGTCGATTCCTTTCGTCCTCCTCAGAGAGAATCCTACCTTGCTCTTGTCGGCTGTTGGAAAGCCACAAGTGCAAAATGGATGACGTGAACGAGAAAGAAGTATGTTGGGTTGATTCGATTCGAGCGATTCATCTGCAGAGATGTCTGAGGAGAAGCGTAGCGAAGGATATTAATGCTATTACAAGCAAATAAACACAAAGTGAGTGATATGATTTGGTTTGGTCGTTGCTTTGCGAGAACACACCAGTGTACGTACCACAAGGTGCTGCCTTTGCCAAGAGAGCGACAGACTGGGGCGGCTCACCACGCATGGTACAAAAGTGAAGAGGCATTTCTCCTTGTGTATTGCCTAACATGCACGCCTTGGAAGATGTGTGAGTTCTAGATTCAGCGTTCAAGAGAAGCTCCAACGTATGTGGGGATCGTCCGTGAAAGACGGCAGAGTGAATTGCCGTATACTGTCCTCTGTAGCCTGCAAACACACAGCATGCGGCATCTGGATAATGTTGAAGCATGCAGGCCACCATTTCGTAGATTCTCCTTTCCACCCGTGCCGTGGTAGCGTCTTCAGATCCCAATAGGGGAGCGTATAGATTTGCCTTGAGAGCATAGACAATGGGCGGTTCCTCGTACTCTCCTCGGTCAGGGACCACAACTGCTTTGGCACAGCTCTTGACGAGCATTTCAAGTATCTGAATCAGACCATCGTCTGTAAGAATGTGCGACTGGAACCTCCTTCGAATGAGTATATGAAGAGGTGTGAATCCATCAATGTCTTGTAGTAAGGCAGCCCTGACCGTTTTTGTCCCCAGGGCTTCGTCGGCTTCCAACAAGGTACCAATTACATCTGCACCGACATGTTCACATACAATGGCTTCATGGAGTGGAGTGCCTCGTGAGTCGACAAAGTGACGAAGTTTATCCGGGCAAGCATTCAGAATCGCCTTGACACACTTGGCCGGAGCGCCGAGCCGACAAGCCAGGGCTAACGGGGTCGGGTCTGTGGTGGGGTTGGCTTCTTCTGGGAACTTCTTAACCCGCTCGATAGCACCTTCCCACCGACGCTGGAAGACGAGGCGGCCAACGGTATCACCACCATCGTCATCTCCCGTCCTTTGACGCTTGGCGGCAGGCGCAGCAGAGTCCGCCATTCTAGCTAGATAAATCTGTTCACACTGGACTGAGGATGAGGAGACTATCCGAACTTTGGGTTGCTAGTAGTAGTGTGATGAGTTTTCTCGCAGTTGATGTCAATCATGACACGACTATGATTTCCCTCTACTGCAACGTGTGGTGCTTGTGGTTTGTGGATGCTAGAAGCCCAAGGAATACCTTTCAGTAACTGCTTCGCTTATTCTTGATTGCCTCTCCTACCGTCGTACTGAAGCCCCTTCCAAGGCAATCGTTTCGACGCGTGTCTACTTTGTTTCCTTTTCCTATTACTTTCCAACACTCTCGTACTTGCTTCCATGGGGAGAGGTGGTGCATGGCAAATGTGGCAATCCATTGCTTGGACGAAGTCGAAATAGAATTACAACTGCTGAAGTAGGGTGACGTAGGGGCAGTATCCTTAAGTCAAAGGGGCTATTGGTACAGCTAAATTTGTCAGCGCCACGTAGGAGCACCCCGTCAAGCCATTGAAGCTGGAAGAAACAGGTTTCCCGACAAGATGCAAGTCTCAGTCCTGACCAAAACAGGCGTCAGAGTACGATTGTTACCGCAGACCAGAGCCACCGTTCCGGATACAACAACCACTTTAGAGTTCTGGTAAAGTCGCCCTAGCCACGCCCAATCACTTTCCAACTACGACGTACCCTTCAGAAAATTGCTCTCAGCAACCCAGCAACGATCCTTGACATGCCAGAAGCTGTCAAATTGCTTCCCAAGCCAGGTCTGGGTCAAAGCCGACTGATTTGTAGACTTTCAGCAAAGCGGTGCACGAGAGCGCTCCATGCCTTGAGTTGCACTTCCAGCAGGCTTCTCAATAAATTTATTCTTGAATCGCTTGCCCCGTAAAGAGAGACTACCGTACTATGCATTAGGCTAGTTCTACAAAATACCCCCAAAAACACATTCGCGCAGAGAGAGTTGACCAATTCAGCAGGGAAAATCTCGATAGCACTAGAGTGCCATCATCGGCAGTTACCGACGTCGCTACAAATGTGACCTGGCTAGCTATATCTACAGTGCTAACAACGTTTTGGATACACATGTGTAACCCGTGGTCTCCGCAACCTTTCACAAAAGGCGACACAACGTGACAACAGTTATCTGCACCCCCAGGAAGACAACTTTGGAATTATGGTAGTTGCGGTAAAAGCTTTTTTCTATACAAAAATTAGAAGTAAAAATAAACTTTAACCCTAAACTTACCTAATCTACCCAGCAAAAACTGTCTTTCCTGTGTGCGCCGCCTTCCATATCCAACGGCAACACCTTGGTCAGCCAAAGTCCTTGGTCTCTGCTCTCAGAACCGTTCCTAACCAGCCATTTTGAGCCATTTTTTCGTCCGTGCGTACGCGAAATCGAGATAACTGTTAAAGTTGGCTGGCTTTCCCTCTTTTTGCCCATTAATTTTGGTACAGCGTATCTGCAATTTTGCATTCTCAATTCGCCGTACCAAAATTAATGGTGAAAAAGAATTCGCGTAGGACCAATCAAAACGCTCGAGTAAGCCGAACTCAGTCACGGCCACAAATCCCCAACTCTAATGAACTAGTTTGACCACGTTCGGTGGTCAATAGCTACCAACCACGTTCGATGGTCGATAGCTACCAACAAACCGATCTCGACAACCAAGAAGGTTAACAACCAAGCCATCAACCGAGAGTAACATGCATGCTAATAACTTTGCTAGCCTTCTTGGTTGTGAAGATTGGTCTGTTGGTAGCTGGTAGCTAGCTAGCTAGCTAATGGCTAATAGCTAGCTAGCTAGATCCGATCATTCGATCGAATTTGGTCTCCCAGACCACGCTCGTTTTGGTTTCCCCTTCAGTTGCACTCCGAAATCGATTTGCTGGCGTTTACTGTGTAAATTAGAGTACCGGCACTTCAGTTGCAGAATCAACGGTCATGTGTATCGTTAAGTAACAAGTTCCCTGTTGAAAGATTTAGATTGATTCGTGGATAAAAGAACCATTGAAGTTACTAAGGTTAAGGATAAACTGATTGAGTACGGTATACGTAGGATGAATGGTTCAATTGAAGGGACAGCACTGACATCCTTCCCTCATTGTATTCCTATGGTAAACAGGAGAGAAATCCAAGCTTGGCCGACAACAATGCATGGTGGTGCTTTATCCAATCGGCCGATCGATCGAATCGATTCGAGGTAAGCCTATTATCAAGAGTTTTAATTGAAGGTACAGCGCTGACTTCTCTCCCTCATTGAATTTCTATGGTAAACAGGAGAGAATTCCAAGCTCGGCCGTCAACAGGTGAGTTGTTTTAATTATTCGAATGATCAATCGAATCGGTCGCACCTCTATTGTCTCTGTCATCCAAGCCTCACTCAAACCGACCTTCTCCGGTGTAGATTCGAAAGCCATCCCTCATTGAATTGTATGGACCATGGGATGGCAGTCAGTTCTCAGCCCATGATGGCCAAGTTAGCCAAGTTGGTGCAATTTGAAAAACAAGGGTAAGTCACCGGTTTTCTTCAGTTGAGCACAGAAAACAAAACTCATATCTATTTGTTGTTTTCTCTGCTGCACTGCTGACGGCCGATGAACTACCATTGCCGAGGTCGAACGAACGAACGAACGAACGAACGAACGAACGAACGAACGAACGAACGAACGAACGAACGAACGAACGAACGAACGAACGATCGCTCCGGATAACGACAAGAGAGGAGGCTACCGGTACTACGGAGGAGTCTGTTAACTCCAGCCCTACCAACAGCATGAACGGAGGAGGCGTCGTCGAGTCATTGAAAGGCGACAGTCAACCGGAGGAGGCGACAACACAGAAGAGAGTGGATCCTACTACTTGATTCACCCCTCCAGTGTTATTTCATAGTGTTTTGGTGGTGATTCCTGTGTCGGTACCCATTTTTCTGTATGCGCAAGTCAAGTACTGTTGCCACTAGCTATACGGCTATACGGCAGCTGGCTACAATGGCTGGTGCAATACACGGCTCTTAGCCTTATTCGCGACTCGATCCTAGATAGGGTTTGAGTTCGACTCATGACCGAGTCTCTCGTGAATAGTCATT